TGTGGCCTTGTCGGCTTATGATTTCAGTTATTGCATCGTCAACTTGCTAGTTGTTTATTTGTTAAGTTGGCGTTGTTGACCCTTTCATTATGTTACTGATGTTGTTGTGACCTCACCAGTTCAGTTATCTTGTTTCAACAGTTTATTGTGATGGCCTTGTTGGCCCTCGTTCCCTTTCCATTATGTTGTAGGGTCTAACTTGATTGAATAAGGTATTTGATGTCAATTTTGCCTCCTCTAATTTAGTGCATGACAGTCCTCTTTGTAGACCTCCAGGTGAAAAAAGACATCACAGATATTCTTCCGGATGAGGCAGTTCATAAGTTCACAGTAGACTCATATCACCCTCCAATAAAACAAAAAAACAACTAATTCCCTTCTATTGCAACAAGTTCATCAAAGAGGAGGTATGTAAAATCCATAACATATGCAAAGCTAAAGAGGAACATATGCAGAAATACTAAAGCAAGATCAGGGTGTTATTGACCCGATTCGAAGAACAATTTTTTTTCACTTTTCGTATACATTTTATTGGTTATTAAAAAATAATTAGGGAATCATTTGTTTGGGAGGAAATTTTCCCTCGACAAATGGGCGATTTAGACTAGGGTACATGGTTAAATCAAAACTAGAGAAATATTGATTCTTTCTACCTTAGGTCGAAGAAAGTTTCAAGATCCCGTCTTCTGACATGACCAAGATCAGTATATCATTAATACAATCAATTGGCCACTCCGTAGCTGGATAGCTTGCATGATCTCTCATCGAAAACAAGGCACTTTATAGGTGAAATACTCTCATAATGACCATTTAGCATCGACCTGCCCTTAATAAGTTTTGAGCCTAATGTCAGATCAAACATGTGCTAGGTAGCCTTCCAAAATTATTGTATAGTCTTTTCACATTATGACTTAGACTTGACCTTTTGGCCTATAAATGCGCTCTTTCAGATGGGGATAACATCAGAACTCTCTCTAAAAACATAATTAGATCCGTTCTCTTAAGGTTCTAATGAAAGAAAACTTTTTTGACCTTTTTTCTTTTGTATTTTTTCTTTTCGTTTCTTTGAGTAATTTACACTATTGAACCTGTTCTCTACTTTGTTGGTTCAAACAAAAGGAAATTAACTTAATTGATTTAATCCACTTGTCTTTTAACTCTATTTAAACAAATTATACTATTAACCAAAATGACAACCTATTTTATAAACGATTACACTAAGGTCAAAGTCATATATTACCATTAAAATAAGAGTGTGCAAGTTGGGGTTACAACTACTTAGCTCTAGTTCTGAATTGAGCTATAATTATAAATTATCTAAATTCAAGGTTTGCACTAAACTAATAAATAAATAAATAACGCATATATTTGCATAAAAAATATTTTCTAACCTTAGTTATAACTATATTCCTACTTAAATTGATAAATTACTTTCTCTTTTTTTAGTTTATTTTTAACAATTCTTTAATTTCAATTTTACATGTAACATGCTTAAAATCACAAGATTAAAGAATTTTTAAGTATATTCTACCCATTTAAAAAAAAATAGGAATAAAGTCCTCCTTTCACAATTTTTGCCCTAAATCATAAGAAGAAAAAAACCACAACAACAAGCGTTGATTTGACGCCACCGTCGGCGGCCGTCTGTTCCTTCCTATATATAGAAAAACCCTTCACCTCCAACATCGACTGGTTATCTTGGGCTTAGTAACTACACAAGTTCATCGGAAAATGGACCCTAACGAACTAGCAAAGGCATTCGTGGAGCACTACTACTCCACCTTCGATACCAACAGGGCTGGGCTTGGAAATCTGTATCAAGAAGGTTCCATGTTGACGTTTGAAGGCATTAAAACTCAAGGTTCACAAAATATTGTGGCTAAACTTACTAGCCTTCCCTTTCAGCAGTGTCAGCATACTATCACTACTACTGATTGTCAGCCTTCTGGTCCTGCTGGTGGCATGATTGTTGTCGTCTCCGGTCATCTCCAGCTCGCCGGCGAACAACATGCTCTTAAGTTTGGCCAGGTTCTAAAAATTTTCTGATTTGGGTTTGTTTTGTTAGTGCAATTAATGATTTATTCTTTACTGGGGTTTGTTTATTTTTTCGAGAATTATCTATTTAAGAGGGTTGCCTGCCTTGAAGCTGAATTTTGTTTGGGAATAGAAAAAACTTGAGATAAATAATCAATATTATAATGGAAATTTATCAAAATTCATACTCAGGAAATGTAATATAAAGTTTTGTTTTGAATGCTAAGTGGTGGAAATGAGAATGGTGGGCCTTTAGCTTGAGTTGAATTACTTTGGTATTTGGATTAACAATTTTCCTGAGCAATTTTTAACAATTCTGAGCAATGTGAATAAGGTTATTTGATTCCTAATATTGCTTGCTGCTAGAGTCTTTTGCTCATAAAGTACTACGAACACAGTTAGGCTTCTACTTCTTCCTTGTCTAGTAATCTCTTCAGATTACATTTATGTTCTATGTGTGCAAACATGGGCATTGTTCATTCTAATAACAGAGGGCAGAAATTGCTTAGTTTCAGAACTTACAAGTTTGCATTAGTCTGATACGACGACTGTGCTTCAATTCAAAAATCTTTACATTCCGTTTCGTGTCATTTCAAGTACATGGTGTATATCATGTTTTTTTCATTTATCAAAATGTAATACTTTATTCTTTTTTGTTTCCAGTGCTTGTAACAGCCTCTCACTACCATAAAAGGGTTGGTGTTTTTCTTTACCTATAATACAATATTGATAGGGGGTTGGTTAGTGTATATTGAGCTTGGGTTTGTTAAGTTTCATATGATCGTCTCCGTCATAGCAGATTTTTTAATTAATGACTCCTCCCTTTGAGTAGAGTTTTTTTTTGACAATTGGCAAGTAGTATTCTTCAGCATTAGCGATGGCTGGCCACCATCAAAAAAGGTTACAACCATGTTCTAAATTTTTTTTTACAAGCTTCCTATCTTTGATTTGATCTACATCTTTTATGCATTATTGTTTACACCAAAAGAGTAAAGATACTAAACAATTCCATGGAATTGATTCTATCTTGAAAATATCTACCATTCCTTTCTCTCTAGACAACCCACCAAATACACGAAGGAATCAATTTCCACCATCTCTTTTGAGTCTTGCTGCCCCCCC